GACGGCTTCTCTGGCTCGCCCTGGAGGATCACGTCGTCGTAGCCACCAACCGTGTTACCGCAGTATCGCAGCTGCGAACCCAAGGCCGACCAAAAGACGGGAATGAAGGGCTTTGCTTTGGATCCTGGGTTGTTGATGGTGTTGGCTACAGAGCGACCGGCGTTTTGTGCGACGTTCCAGTGCTCGATGCGAACTGGTGTGCCGTTACCTCCTGGACCGTGGTAGGGGTATGTTGCGATGTCACCGATGGCATATACATCCTTCAGGCCACTGACGGCAAACGACTCGTCTGTCTTCAATGATCCGTCCTTCTCCAGCGTAACGCTCGAGTTGTCTTTGAGGTATTCAGTCGCGGGCGCGACACCGACGCCTTCGATGACGAGATCTGCCTCCAGTGTGGTTCCGTCTTTGAGATGCACAGCACCGACCTTGGATGAATCGCTCTTGGAAGGAGTGGCCTTCTCAACACTGGCGCCCATCTTGAACTTGACGCCGTTCTTCTCGAGCAGACCGCGGAAGATGCCACCAACCTTCTTTCCCATTACACGCTCCATTGGTTCTGCGATAGCGTTAGAATACCATCAACGAGAGCAGAGGGATGACTTACCCTCTTCCATACCAATGATGGTCACATCGTTCTTCATGCTAGCGAGGCAGTTGCCGACCTCCATACCGATGAACGAGCTGCCAACGACCACGACCTTCTTACCGTTGTCCCCAACAGCCTTGAGGATGTTCTGTGCATCGGGCAGAGTGCGGAGAAGGAAGACGTTGCCCAGGTCGCCCTTGAGACCGTCAAGTGGCAGCCACCTTGGTGTACCACCAGTCGCCAACACCAGCTTTGTGTATTCGTACTCCTTTCCAGACTTTGTGGACACCTTCTTGCCAGAGAAGTCTACGCTCTTCGCCTCATCTTCGATAATGTCAATCGACGCGTCCTTGTAGAACTCTTTTGACCTCCAGGCCGCCTTGGAGATATCAGCCAGCAGCGCCTTGGACAACTTGGTTCGGTCAATGGGCTGGTAGCCTTCCTTGGAGATCACAGTGATCTTGCCATTGTATCCGCCGCCTCTTAGACCTTCAATGGCCCCAAGGGTACCAGAGCCACCACCAATGACTAGGACCTTGTCCTCGCTCACCGAGGAGCACTTGATGTTCAGGAATTTACGGTTGGCCTTCAATACGTCTTCGGTGGTTTTGACGTATACGGCGCCGTCCTTCTCGACTACTTCGTACTTCGCAATGGGGTCGAGCGCAGGTGCGTCTTCAACATCTCCGGTCGAGACCTTGAAGCAGGCTATGAATGTCAGTCTTGAACATCCGACATAGGTAGCGTATGGGTATTACCTCCGTGCCATGGGCATGTCAAGCGACCCTCTGGTGTCAATACGCCCTTCACTAAAGGCGCGCCGTAATGTGTGCAGTTGGCACTGGTAGCATGCACCTGGTCCTGGATCTTCAACAGGAGCACCTTTCCTCCCTCAACACCCTCAACTTCGACCTCTTTCTTGTCTCCATTCTTCATTTGTAAGGAAGTGACATCCTTGAGCTTGAATTCTTGAGCCATGGCTGCGGTTGTTGATGTAAACGGAGCTCTTTGTAGACGACTGGTGGGGCTGAATTGTAGCTTGAGTGAGGTTCGTAAGGGTCGTAGAATACGTAGTGACTGCATTAATGTTGTAAAGAGAGGTGAAGAGTGAAGGGCTGTCTATGAGCGCGACAGCTGCCAGTTGGCCAATGATGACAGGCGCATTACTTAGATTTAATGATGTCACGATTGGACGTGGAGGAGCTCCAGAAGCTGTAGCGCCGATCGCGACCCCACTTCGGTCGGCATCACTGCAATGTGGTGTCACCTTGCTATGCACACAACAAACAAACTGAACAAATGCGCTGCAGTCTACATGGGCTTTTAAGTGATATTCAAGAGTCTTGTCGGGATTCTGCTATCTCTATCATTCTCTCTGTAGGAAGTAGGTGATAAAATTTTGCGTGAATTGGGTGGTGTTTTCAACCTGTTCACGGTCAAAGTTCCCTACGCATGCGAACATCTATATCTTTGATGCGATATAACTACAGCACTTCGAGGCCTGTAGAGTCCTCAAGATGCCCGTATCTTGGTGTGTGAGTGTGACTCTCCCGCTGCTGGAAACTGTTGACCTGGTAACGATTGCACGACCGGGAAACTTAAGCTTCACTGCAGTACTCTGTGGGAGACATGATGTGATAAGAATACATGCGTCCAAGACAAAGGCCGAGAAATAGACAAATCTTGAATCATATAAGCGAAATGGCATGCAAGAAGCAATTGAGATTACGTAGCATGGCTACGATACCCACCAAGCCAGACTTGCTGATGGCTTTGATCCAGGGACCGATCAATTGTCTTCGCTCACCTCTGCATGGAAACTTCCGCCCTCACATGTGCAGTCGCAACTATAAACCTCTGCTATGAAATCTCGTGATGCCAGAATAAGGGAATCGGGACGCGGGACGCGGCTACCCTCCGCGTAACCGCCACCTACCAAACATCAACTAAGCACATGCTCTAGTTTGGCAGATCCCAAAGCAAACATACGCGGGACGCTCCAATCCGGTGACATTGGCCTCTTACCCCGCGGTCTGTTAGTCCAGTACCAACCAGTAGTTCTGACAGCAAAGCAATATCTTGCAGTAGACCTGAACCTTTGTTCAATGCTTTTCAAGCCTTCGCTCCGCCACCGACCCTTCTCACCACCAGTCACTGTCTGCCATTGCCGACAACACCACCACCATACACCCACACCAGACAGCAAAGCAAAAACTCAAGGTTGACTCAATCGTATCACGATTTCTCACAGCGATCTGATTTTAGACCTTGGATCGTCGCGATTTTGTTGAAAAGTCATTGCGAACCCCGCTCGTGCAAGGTCGATTCAGGGCATCAGGGTCAACCCTCTACCAACTCATAGACAGTCCCCTACGCACCAACTTGACTGCGACCGAAGCGCACGTTGTGAGTAGCGCATGAGCCAGGCAAGAGTAACTTGACGACACTTCGGTACCGACGGCCGGCGGTTAACATGGCTCGTTAGTGGCACAGATACTCACAAGACCGAGTGCTGACGGGCACAGACACATCCTTCCCTTCGGACCTACCTGTCCCTCAGGATGACGGCGCGTGTTCGCACTTGAGCGGGACACAGATACCTTCCGTATCCTTGTCTGCAACGTCAGGAGACTGGCTTGATGTCTCAATTTATCCGGGCCTGACAATCGTCTTCTGCTATCCGCGTACCGGTGCGCCTGGTGAAACAATCACTGAAGATTGGAACTCCATACCAGGAGCACGAGGCTGCACACCTCAGGCGTGCAGCTTCCGTGACGAGATGGCCAAACTACGCGACCTCGGCGCACAGCGTGTATTTGGATTGTCGACTCAGGACACTGCCTACCAAAAAGAGGCCAAGGACCGGCTGCATTTACCCTACGAACTGCTTTCGGACGAGAACCTACACTTTGCCAATGCCCTGAAACTACCCACTTTCAAATGGCAAGATAAGACACTGATTAAGAGATGCGCCCTCGCGATCGAAGACGCAGTCATCGTCAAAGTCTGGTACCCTGTTTTCCCTCCCGACAGCAGCGCGAAAGACGTAGTGGGATGGCTTGCAGGCAGAAAATAGTATATGCAGGTACCATTTCCGTGCCCCTGAAACGAGTTGGTACCACATTTGGATGCGCACCCGTGAACATCCTGACTCGGGCCCCTACGGTGCTTTTACGGCTGCCGAATCCGGCTATGTTGGTAGTAGACAGGGGAACTAACAGCAGTTATCGCAACGTACTCAATACTGGGCGCAACAGGAGCTGGGGGGTCAGTTTCTCTCGATTAGCACGACGGTATTTTCTGCCGTCGTGATATACTTCATTGCTCACACACACACTGTCAACTTGTCGCGGCAAAAGCAATGTTTGGGGACAAGGTTTGACGGGTGCGACGTTGGGTTGCGCACTAAGGATCGTCAAACCTCCAACCGAACGTGGATCGCCCGCACCGTGCGTGCATCGTCAATAAACTTTAGCTCCACGCTCTTCTGCCGGACCCTACAAGATATGGTCTAACCCGTGCCGCCCTGCATGGCGATGTTGTGTCGCAAGGACTCTGTCGATCGCGGATCTTCGTGACTTTGTGAGCACCTACTACTATCCTTCATACACACTACATTCGTTCTATATGCTTTCTTTTCGGAGAACTTGGTGTATCACATAAAGAAGCCTGCGCATCCTGACGAAGTGGCTGAGGCATCGGCGCGGCGTCGTTCACTCACTCCTTATCAGTATAACCAGCTTCAACACAATCTTTAATAATAATGTCTACCACACTCATTACTACCCGCCGACGACCACAGAGCACTACATCAACCTCGTCGCGAAGAGCGCCGGCTACATCCACTTCTTCACAAAGAGCGACTGGTACTTCTACCAAACAACGGAAACCGAGCGCAACTTCTACATCCTTACGCATTGCGTCGTCGTCACCAACCGCACTACCTAGCAACTTGGCATCAGACTTCTCCTTCATCCAACTTGGAACGGATGCTCCTGTTCCCAGTGTAACCAACTCACTCAATCAGCCAAGCCTCGTGGACACTTCCAAGGGACCCACCGAAACATGCTCTACAGATAGCGACTGCGCAAGTGGCAAAGCGTGCTCGAGCGCAAGATGTGTTACCATGGGCGGTGCTGCGCCGCTTGGCGGGTCGGGCGCAGAGCCAACTTCGCGACTAACTCCAGGGTCGGCTATTGGCATCGGTGTAGGAGTTGTGGGAATGGTGGTGTTGATGATAGCAGCTGGTTACTGGTTCTGGAGGATTCGAGCAAGACGACCACGCACCCATACGATCGAAGCGCCTTCACACTCTCGCCAAAGGTCTGCCTCGAATGCCACAGATCAGAGGACCTTGGTAGCATCACTACCAAACAGTCCCCAGAACGCAGCCTTCAGTCAACAACAGACCATGGACCCTGGGCTATTTGCCAGGGCTCTTGCATTCAATGAGAAGAAGGAGAAACCGGACAACAAGAGGCCAGGATCTATGGAGAAGCACGCACGAAGCTCAACAGAAAAGGCACTGCCACCTCGTCCAACACCTCATCCGCTCATGGAACATCCCCTTCCTCCACCGCCAACGAAAGCGAAGTCGTATGCTGTCAACGTCAATATCAACAAGAGCATGATACTCGATGATGAGTTGATCAATGCCGTCAGTTCGCTTCGGGGCAATGATACTCCTCGCAGTGGTACTCCCACCCGGGATCGTGCGCCGCGATACAAGTTTGAGGAATACATCCCGCCTACAGCCGCTCCTCCATCGATATCCATCTCGCATGCCACGCCTACCGCGGAAAAGCGAAACTCGGAATACGAACTTAGCCAATTACCGAACAAAAGACACTCTGCCGACAGTGTATCGATAGCCGACGGCAGTTCGAACGGAGGTGATTCCGAACCACCCTCCCCCGTTAGAGAGACTCTTTCTAAACTGGAGAGCAAGCCCCCTCAACTTCCATTACCCGACTTGCCACCTCCAAGCCCAAGCTTCAGCTTTCGTTCCTACGACTGGTACCAGGATATCATAGGCGATCAACCAAATGGCGAGCCGAACACACCCACCGTTCCTTCGCGCAACCCTGCGCGAACACCAACAGAATCGACATTCCCTAAACCACTTTCTCTTTCTCCAAAGAAGGCGCAGTCCGCCATGCTACACTCGAGTCTTATTCCAGAACCACTTTCACCTGGTGCACCTCCTGCTGCATCAGGGTTGCTTTTACATCCAAGTTCAACGGTACTGCCCAGTCCTACGAACCCGAACTTTCGTTTATCACCAACTGTTTATACCCCTCCGCGACAGCAGTCTCCTTTACCACCAACAGCACCACGTCGAGCCTCCGCGCGGGCTTCTACCATGACCACAGCAACCCGAGCGACGCACGATTCGCGAAGCTGGCTCCCGGACGATGGACTGTATCTTGCTGAAGAAGGCGACGAATACGCCGAATACAAGACTTTCCATCGACCTAGCGAGGACAGCAGGCCTACAAGCTACTCGCCCTTGACGTGAACTACGGAAGCCACCTACCCTACCGTCATTCCAACTATGATGTTGGGGGCGCGCTGAGCTTTGTAGTTCACCCATGCGGGCCGTGTACTATTCATTATTCCCCACGGGCCGAGACCCTCAGGAAGGATCGCAATGCGCGCAGTGGAATACCACCCGCCGCTCCACTTCTGTGTCCCGACTTTGGACCAACGAGGGCGTGCGCGACAGCCTTGTACTCCGACGCACGGGAAGGAAGCACGCGGGAAAACGCTAGGACACGCGAGTCCATGAACTGCATGCAGCTCCATGATGCAATGCGAGCAAGGTGCAAATACTACGGATCATGCTGCAGAGCGGATGCAATGTCACAACGACATCTAACATTCTTGTACTTTAATACCCTAACGTAATGTAAAACAAACAGTATCAATGAAATACAACAACACATCAATTTCATAACAGTATGGCTGTGTGTATAAGCTTTCTTCCTTCGTGACCAGCAACCGTGCCTGTGGGGAGATCTGCATGCGACCCCACTGTCATGACATGTGGCTACAGAACGTTGAACCCGCCATATCGTGCCGTGCATGTACAAGTTTTGGCTCTACCGAGATACATTCCGTGGCGCGTCCACAATCTGTGCTCTTGTCAGCTTCGCAAGAGGACTGGGATGTTCACGTGGACGGAGGAAGCAAGAGCGCCGTGAAGGCGTTCGGAGATGCTTAGCAATTTTCCTCCGTCGGGTCGCACCTACTGATTCGGTTCGTGTCGAAGCAGGTACGATGACTTCCGTGCCAAACATTGAAACTATGAATCAAGATATCACCTCGACACCAACTTCCGACGCTCCAAACTTGACGATGATTCGTTTCTTTTCCTTTAGGGATCCGTTTTTTTCCTTCAGGATTGTCGCGCTGTACCGCATGCTGGGGTACATTCTACACTGGAAGTACCCACGGGTGAGTCGCTTCTGCCAGGCATTATGAGCTATCACAAGCTTCAAGCCACGAAGCTTAGAATCTAGAAGTCCGTCTTCTTCACGATCCCCACACATCGACGGCACTGCATGTCTCCGCACGTTCCTATTCGCTCAATGTCGGCGCGCTCCCCCATGATCATCCCCCGCACGGAGCTCGCTTATGCATGGCGCATGCAGGCGCCCAGCCTCCTCGAGTCCAGTTCCTGTTGCTCAGCGTCATTGCAGGTTCCTTCACTGCGGGGAATCGCAGATTCACGCAGCAAACCAATATGGCGCCTAATGCAGTGGACAGCAATGCGGAAAGCTATAAAGGGACCAGGTCGCCATGGACTCCAAAGGATCTTCAGGCAGCACTCGACTGGTTCAGCACATCGATCATGTCGCGCTCAAGCTATCTCCAAGCTTCAACGCTGCTCTCTTCTTTCCTGTCGCTTACAGCTGGCCAGACACCTATCAGCTCGTCTGACGGCGGTTGGAGCACGACCCTGGCTGGCACCCCTACCTCATTCCGCCCTGTCTTTACTCTTCCCCCCTCAGTAGACCAAGGCGTTGAGCAGATCCCCAACATCTATGATCCGCAAGCTGTCGATGCACAAGATATCTGCCCAGGCTACAAGGCATCTGGTCTTGAACAGAACGACCGTGGCCTGAGCGCCACCTTGACACTGGCTGGGGCACCTTGCAATGCTTACGGTACCGATATCGAGGAGCTAGACCTGAAGGTCGAATACCAGGCCAAGGGGCGACTGGCCGTTAGCATTGTCCCCAAACATCTTGATGCTAGCAACCAGTCCCAGTGGATTGTACCCGAGGATCTTATCCCAAGGCCGCAAGCCGAGGATTCATCGGATGGCACAGACCTCAAATTTGATTGTAAGTCATCTCAACGAGGATGTTGTTGAATTGTGAGAACTCTCGGCTAACGCGATTCCAAGGGGGCAACGAGCCATCTTTCTGGTTCAATGTGGGCCGTCGGTCTACTGGAGATGTCATTTTCACTACTCAGGGCTCGCACCTTATTTATGAGGACCAGTTTGTCGAGTTTGTGAACAGCCTGCCTGAAGACTACAACCTTTACGGCCTGGGAGAACGCATCCACGGCCTCCGCCTGAACAACAACTTCACCGCGACCATCTACGCTGCTGATGTTGGGGACCCAATCGACCGCAATCTTTATGGTAGCCACCCATTCTATCTCGAAACCCGCTACTTCGAAAAGGGCGGCAATGGTAGCAAGACCCCTCTTAAACAGTCCGAGATGCAGCAGAGCAACTTTGGCTACGATAGCAAGCCAACTGGATCGAAATACGAGTCTTTCTCCCATGGTGTTTACTACCGTAACACACACGGTATGGATGTTGTCATGAAGCCCGACCACCTCTCATGGAGAACACTGGGAGGCGCGATCGATCTGTTCTTCTACGACGGACCTTCTCAGCCTGAGGTGACCAAGGAGTACCAGAAGTCGGCGATTGGTCTGCCTGCGATGCAGCAGTACTGGACCTTCGGTTTTCACCAGTGCCGATGGGGTTACCGCAACTGGACAGAGTTGAGGGAAGTTGTTGAGACCATGAGGGCTTTCAACATTCCTATGGGTAAGCTTCTCTTCGCATTATTTCGCTTGAGTATGTTTGCTGACTATAACTAGAAACCATTTGGCTCGACATTGATTACATGGACCAATACCGAGACTTCACTCTTGATCCCGTGACTTTCTCTCCCTCTGGTGTCAAAGACTTCTTTGGCTGGCTGCACGGAAACAACCAGCACTTTGTACCCATTGTGGATGCGGCGATCTACATCCCGAACCCGCAGAACGTTAGTGACGCATACGACACTTACACTCGCGGAAACGAGTCTGGTGTCTTCCTGAAGAACCCCGATGGCAGCCAATACATTGGCGCTGTATGGCCTGGATACACTGTCTTCCCCGACTGGCTATCTTCCAACGGTGTAGCCTGGTGGGTTAAGGAGATGGTTGAGTGGTACAAGGAAGTGCCGTTCAGCGGCTTCTGGGTTGACATGACTGAAGTCTCTTCATTCTGTGTCGGCTCCTGCGGTACTGGCAACGTTACCCTGAACCCTGTTCACCCGCCTTTCTCTCTCCCCGGTGAGGTCGGCAACATTGTCTACGACTTCCCTGAAGGCTTCAACATCACCAACGCAACCGAGGCCGCCTCAGCCTCAGCCGGTGCCTCGAGCCAGGCTGCATTGTCAGCAGAGCCCACGGCAGAAGTTTCCACAACTGCCACCTACTACCGATCAGAGCCTACGCCCGGTTCGCGCAACGTCAACTACCCTCCATACGTCATCAACCATGTTCAGGGTGGAGCTGATCTTGCTGTTCACGCTGTCAGCCCTAACGCGACTCACGAGAACGGTGTTGAGGAGTACGATGTCCACAACCTCTTTGGCCACCAAATCATCAATGCCACCTACCAGGGTCTTCTCGAGGTCTTCCCTGGCAAGCGACCCTTCATTATCGGACGTTCTACATTCGCTGGCAGCGGCAAGTGGGCTGGTCACTGGGGTGGTGACAACGCGTCCAAGTGGGCTTACATGTTCTTCTCCATCCCTCAGGCTCTATCCTTCTCGCTCTTCGGTATTCCCATGTTTGGTGTCGACACATGTGGATTCAACGGCAACTCCGACATGGAGCTTTGCGCCCGCTGGATGCAACTCTCTGCTTTCTTCCCATTCTACCGCAACCACAACGTGCTCTCTGCCATTCCACAGGAGCCCTACGTCTGGGATGCCGTAGCCTCTGCATCTAGAACCGCTATGCACATTCGATACTCTCTGCTGCCCTACATGTACACTCTTTTCAACGACGCCCACACCACTGGTTCTACCGTGATGCGTGCGCTCGCATGGGAGTTCCCCAACGAGCCACAGCTCGCAGGCGTCGACACACAGTTCATGCTGGGACCCAACATCCTCGTCACTCCCGTCCTTGAGCCTCAAGTTGACACCGTCAATGGTGTTTTCCCCGGTATCGTCGACGGCGAGAGCTGGTTCGACTGGTACTCTGGCGAGCGTGTCCAGGCTGAAGCTGGTGTCAACACTACCATCTCGGCTCCTCTGGGCCACATCCCCGTATACGTCCGCGGTGGCGCAGTACTGCCAACTCAAGAGCCTGGCTACACCACTACTGAGTCCCGGAAGAACCCATGGGGTCTCATCGTTGCTCTATCAACCGATGGTACCGCTTCTGGTAATCTGTACGTTGACGATGGCGAGTCTCTCGAGCCGGAGTCGAGCCTGGATATTACGTTCGCTGCTATGGATGGACAGCTCAAGGCTGAAGTTCAGGGCGAATTCAAGGACACCAACGCGCTTGCCAACGTCACTATCATGGGAGCTTCATCTTGTGGACAGGTCAAGCTGAATGGCGAGACGATCGATGCAAGCAATGTAGAGTACAACTCTACGAGCAGCGTCCTGAAGCTTACAGGTCTGAATGATTTGACCAGTGGAGGAGCTTGGCAAGGTAGCTGGACCCTAAGCTGGGAGTAAAGCGATAGAGTTTCATAGAGGATATATCATAGACTTTGGTATCATCAACCATAGAATGGTGAAGCGACCCTAACGCTCGATTAGCGAGCTACCCCTAGACATGAATCTACTGCGTTTCAAAGCCAACCCCTGACCTCCATGTTTGACAAATCTATGCTTCCTCGGAGCGCGCTGTGCTCATGGTCTTTCAGGTTTTGCGACGAGCGGAGTCGTGAACAAATGACGTCATAACGGGAACTTGCACCTCCAAGGATACGACCAAAGCCCAAAGGAGTCTTTACGTACCACGCATAATCATGGCATTCTCTCACACACGAAGAAAGTTCGCTCCGAACACCTCCTTCAGCAACAAATCTTCAAACGACTAAAAGAAGAAAGAAAGGCAATCCATCATGCCACCCAAGAAGCTAAACCAACAAGCCCCTTCCTCAGTCCCCGACGTAGACGAGCTGAAGAGCATAGCCGCCAAATCCGACAGTCCAGAAGATAAACTCAAAGAAGCCGCCGCGAGCGCCGAGTCCGCCCTCGCCTCCGCCAAAACCGCCTCGTCGCTACGTGCCGCCGCCGAAACCATCAAAGACCCTGAGAAACGGAACAAATACCTACAAGATGCGTACAACAAGGAGATTGAAGCGCATGGAAACTCGAAGAAGGCGCGCGTACTCAGTTCAGGCGCATTCCAGGGTAGTGTAGGGGGTGGTGGGATTGGTATGGCTGTGGGCGCGGGACTGGGTACGGTTGTAGGCACGCTGGTGGGGACTGTGGCTACGATTCCTACGACGGCTGTGGGCACGTTGGTGGGTGCGGGTGTGGGGGGTGTTCATGGGCCGTGGGTTAAGCTTGGGGGTGGGAAGAAGGATGGGAAGGATAAGGAGAAGGAAGGTGGAGAGGGCGGCGAAGGGGAGGATGTTGATGGGCAGATGCAAGACCAGATGGGTGGGGAGGAGGACGGCATACCGGATCCTGAGGCGCTGAGACGTGCGGCAGATGAGTTTGCGCAGCAGCGGAAGGCGAACCAGGAGAATGGTGGTGGTTATGCGGAGAAGAAGGAGAAGAAGGAGAAGAAGAAGCCTAGGAAACTGGAGGTACGGGGCAAACAAGGTGCATGAAGAAGGGTAGCAGGGCATTTGGTTTTTGAACATCGCACTGAGCTCATGGTGTTGTTTAGTGGATGCATTGTTTGGCGCCAGCATCATATAAGCATTGGGATTATGGCATAGTATACACAGATTTGACGAAATGCTTCTCCTCAACATTTCTCAATCTGAAATTCGGGACGAAGCCATGTCTTTTCATCGATGAACGACAACTCCAGCCCCCTCACCCATACCCCGTACCTTCCCCTCAACAATACGTTCGGGTAGTCCCAATTCCGTACAAATCTCATCGAAACAGTGCATGCCATCTAGAAATCTCAATAGAGGAAGCCCGCTCCCGCTCTTGTCTCTATCGCTCACCAAGCCCTCGAGGGTTTGGTGTTCTTCACCCTTCGAAACACTGAGATGTTGGGGGTTCTGTTGTTGAAGATGATTGTGGTTTGCAGGCATCGCGGAGGCAACGCTCGGTCTGTGAATCGAGAAGGATGGATGATGTGTGTGGATATTGGCTTGGGCAGTGTGGTGACCGTGGGTCTGAATACTTGGTTGGGAGGAATGGTGTACTCGTTCGTTGCCGCGAATTGTGGTGGTGTCTGAGTCGCGGGGGTTTGCGAGAGATGTCGCAGTACTTGTTTGCAGACTCGTTGGTGGTGCGGGTGGTAGGGTCGTGGAGGTCGCTATCGCGTACTTGTGCACACGGTAGAGGAAACCTTTGATGATGCCGAAGGTAATGAAGCGGCGTACATCGATGCCAGTGAGAAGATCCAGATTCTCCAGCACCCAGTTCTTCAAAGTGAGACCTTGTCGCAGCGATGTGTATAGCGTTATCAACGTCTCATGACTCGTCTGCCATACATTCTCTTCCTCCTCTTCTTTCTTTTGAGCGGCGATGTGGCTATCGAACTCTGAGACCCTAAGCGTAGATCCGACAGTCTCGCTTTGCTGCGATGACAAAGACGAGGTCGAACTACGCTCGTCCCTACTCTTCTCTGAAACTTCGCTATCCATCCGAGCTGTCTTTGCGTTTGAACCAAGTCTCATTCTCGGTACGCTGACGTAGCGCATACATTCCTCTTTAACCTCTGCATCCATTATGAAATCACCAATCTCTGCTGTTGGCGCATATATGGCGCTGAAGCTGAAGATATCCAGTAGTATTAAACATCCATAATATACCAAATGTTGAATGGCTCGTCTTGTCAACGAGAGATCGGTATCAGCCAGTTGCGCGATATGGGCTATCGAGTTGATACCGTTTATGTATGGTAGTATGCGATTGAGAGTGAGGTCCGAGGATACGGGTTGCTGGAGACTTGACAGAGATATGGTGAGCAAAGGCACTTGATGCGCGAGGATAGGTGGAGGAGGCGGTCGCGTAGGGAACAGCTTCAGGTTGATCGTGTTCGAGTCATCTGGTGGTTTGTTAGTATATCGCATACTACCTAGGTACAGTCTGGTACGAAGCATGACTTACCGATTGGTATCATACACTCTGCGTAGTTATTCAAATCCTCAAGCACCATCTCGCACAGCGCATACACCTTGCTGCCACCACCTATTCCAAATCCGCCGACTCCATCGTCGTACCCAAACCCAACGTTTCCTCCTTCATCTTCCCAAACGCCCTCCTCTTCTCTGGACAAGAATCCGCCCTGTTCTTCCAGGCCTCTCAACAAGCGTCCTAGCTTCCTCACCACTTCGCCGTAGCACGCCCAGTCGCGCTCATTTTCGCCTATCACAATTGCGAAGTTGAAGATGAATTCATTTCTACTGTATTTCCCTTCTCTTATGCAAACAGGGTATCCGATGACGCGATTGTGGTTGATGCAGAAAGTGAGGAGACGATCGCAGAACTGTTGTGTGGGTATGAGGAACTGCGTGACCGAGGGAAAGGCGAACAGTGGTGTGGGGAGCGCCGATGGGAGGTTGGAGGGTATGATGGCGCCTGCGGGTACCTGGTGGAGTACGCGATTCCCTGGAGAAGTCAGCGGAGTTTCTGAAGGCGCGGCTCTCTATGGACTACCTTTTTCATGGTGGAAGCGAGTATAGAATATGGCTTTGATAGCGCGCGTAGGCATTGAAGACTGTAGGCTCTATCGCCGAAGTTCGCTGGCGACTACATGGTGGGTGTAGGGTCTTGGGGTCGCGATGTGGGGAGATTCAGAGAGCTTCCGAGGTGTGGTCAGTGCGCCACATCACGCCTCGGCGTTGTGAGATTCCCAATACGACTTTTGAGACACCTGGTAGAGGGCTGTTACCTGTTCGAGCTTGATTTTTTTTTTGGATTTGAGATACCCCATTACGCTGTAAACACAAAGCAAACGTGAGATTCCCAAAGAGTCATTCTGATACATGCGAGCTAGTAATCTGAACAGTGTCTACACTAGCTGTAATTCAAACCACCTAGTCGGTATTTCCAGGCTATGGTCATTTCCAGGCATTACTTGTGGCCTCCCCCAAGCAAACGTCTTACACGTAGCGTAACCCGTTCACCAAGTATCCTCGAAGTCATGTTTGCGACCTTGTTCCCCTTGGAGATCATCCTTTTCAATTCGATGACATCCAGTTTCAGCTGAGCCAGTGTTTCCGCCGAAACTGTTTCATTCCCACTCGCTGTTCGCGATTTGAAGCGCTTCTCCATATCATCCGTAGCCTCAGCATCGCCGGCCAAGAATTTATCGAAGTGCTCCTGGATAACAACCAGTGCAGATTGTTTTTGGATTTTAAAACATCGTTCCGTCTCAATTCGCGCTTTGGTATCCGCCCCATATAGGATTAGGAGTTTCAGTATAGATATCCATTTGACGGGATTTTTGTTCGGCGTATACAGACAATTTTGCCAGGCACTGAACCCGTTGAATTCGAGATTTGGGTCAGCACCATTTAGCAAGAGAGTCTGAACGAGACTGGGGTCACTTTCTGACAAGCGGTAGTCGCGTTGTGGCTCAGGTCTGCACGCGTAGTCGAGCAGTGGCCTACCACGCTTGTCCAAACAAAGGCGACCTTTTGCGCGAATGGTGTCTTGGACGTATAAGGTCAACCCATATCTGACGTTTAGGGACATGAAGTTGTCATACCAGGGAGCAGTCTTCCTATGATCTTCCCAATCGTCGCACCAAGTCGTCCCACTGTATTGTTGTCCTTTCCATCTTCCCACGCAGTCTGGAAATAAAGTCGTCATTGCTTTGTCGAGCTCGTCGAGAAGTTCTCGAGCGCTGGTTTGGGTCTTCGCCTCTGCAAGTCGCGCAAATAGCAAAGCATCGATGACAAGCTCCCAGGGAATCTTATGATCGCCAGGTTGCTGCGACCCTCGATTGACTGCTTTGACTTCCATGACTAAGGATTGCAACACAGCCAGAGAGGCGTGAAATACCCGTCCTTCTGTGTGGCTTATCAGATTGTCCCATACCTCTTTTTTGTGTAAAAAATCGGCAACAGTCCTGTGAAGATACTCGACGTCCTTCCTGGTCCTTGTTTCTACCTGAATTGCTTCCGGCAGAGATCTGTATCCTTCCAGGGAATTGACTCGCGTCCGGAGCTCTAGGAGACCTGCACAACGGCTTCTAAGTCGACGGTCTGTGGTGATCTCAATGTTTTTGAGTTCTTCATCCGACAAGGGAGTTATTTCTGCACTTATAATCTCCTCCATCTTGGCTTCTGCATAGGACAATCTGACAGCGGATAGTGGCCTTGTTCCATCTTCTGACACAGACCATTGTCGGTAGCCTTCGTCGTTGCACCGAAGGATTTGAAATATGCATGCGGCTTGCGATTTATACAAGGGAGACACATTACTCAGCATGTGGGTGAAAAGCGCCTCAAGATCCTGCGGTAAAGCCCGGAGCCGTAATTGAAGCTCTTCGATCTTGTCTCCATTTCGCAGCCCCTGAAGGAGAGACTTCACTACAAGTTTGACCCATAAGAAAACGCCAGAGGCTGAGCTGACAATCTCTTCCACGAGAACTTTGGTGTCGTCTTCGTAGGTGGCTTTCAGATACACCATCTGAGGATGTACGGACAAGCTTTCATCCACATACTTTGTGATATCGTTATGTGTGAGCTGCTGGAGTTGCAGTTGTGGCTGACCCGCGAAACAATCCGTAAATTCCGTGAGTGGCCTGCTCGATAGGAGGGCTTTGATGTTATCACTTTTCGTGGCTGAGATTAACATCTCCCCAAGCTCAGTCATCGTGATTCGTTGGGCATCGAATTCATCTAAACCGTCGACTACTATTACGATTTTCGTGGACTTGAAAGGATGGTTCGTGAGTCTTCCAAATGCGCGGCGAAGTTGGTGAAACGTAGGGAATCCGTCCCAATCAGCGTTGAGTAGGTATTGTTCCGCAAACAGAGTAGAGGCTAGAGATATGTCCTGATCGAGCACCTGCCAGAGCAGTGATCGCAGGAGGCCTTCCTGCGACCTTTGAATTTCAGCACCTGAACTCCAAAAGTAGAAGTCAGCAACGATCAGACGATCGCCTCGAGCCCACAGATTCAGTATCTCCATAAATCGGGGATCTTGATAGAGATACTTCATCAACGTTGATTTTCCGGACCCGGCCTTCCCGTTAATCCAATACACGCCACCATCCTGCCGAAGCCACTCTGCGAGACTTGGCCAGCTTGAGGATTCTCTACTCTCCAGTGCCCAGTTGAAGGTGTCCTGATGCGCAGTGACGATATCGTCGTATCTGTCGTCTTTCCGGGCGAAGTATAACTTGTTTGTGATTGCGCGTGGGACATCCTTTATGCTGTACTTTTTCAATCGCTGTTTGGCGATGGTATGTAAGACCTCTTTGTGACGCGTCGATGCCAACGATCTGTCGACCTCTTGCCGTTGTATGATCTTTTCGGTCTGTGAAGTTATCGTCGTGCCGAGTTGTTTGTTGCTCTCCACTATGCTCAGCATCGCTGTCCGACTCGTTTGATCTAAACCTTGTAATTGGTCGTCCCTGATAGACACTAGAATTCTAAACTGAAGCTCATCACGCATCATCTGAAGTCGTGACTTGATATCCTCGATCTTTTTCGCCTTCCAAGATGCTTTTAGAGCGCTGAGAATCGTTTTGTATCTGGCCGCGTCTTTGGAACATTGCAACGACTCGAGTGTGGCAATAAGTTCTTGAGCAATCTTCGTGCACTCAGCAGCCAGATCCTCGAGTGCCTGTAGATATGTAAGACTGGCGTTGTGGGCGCCCAGACCTTGTACATGTCTAACGTACCTGGCTGTCCTGGGCCAATGGGCCTGAGCTGGCTGGATTAGGACGAGCGCATGATGTTATGCGTTCGTTCAGTGCCGTGAAGTCTTCAACCACCCGTTCTAAATCCAAGTTCTGTACGGTAGAACCTGACTGGCGAATTTGGTTTCCAGTTGACAAGACTTTCGAGGTGAAGTCTATAACCTGTAAGATGTTGGCAGCAAGACTAAGTCCTGCGATGGCTTCCATGGCGACCACTCGAATGTGACAGGAAAGGCTATCGCAAGTTTGAGGCTGGGGGCTGGCGTCTTAAAGGGTCGGACGAGTATGCAGCTTAGCTGCGTGCAGGTGTTGCGCTAACGTTCAGCTGAAGTCGTGCGGGTCTGGAAGCCAATGGGCGCACATGATCACCGCCACCAAAACAGCCAACAAGTGGTAACTCCGAAGATCGCCCAACCGACTCTTCTGCCACTCTGTAGAGATATTCCATAATGCTAAGAACGTAAGCTTATCGAGCAAACCGCGCTGTGATGTGAGGATAGCGCCTAGTCAGAGTGGCACCACCTCCTACATGAAAAAAACTGAACAACTGCCTCCTAGAAGTCTACATTACCCCGAAGGATATGTGAACTTCAACTCTTACACTAACGTAGACGGCAGAGTACCTGTTTAGTTTTTTCTTTATATGAGGTGGGACTGGATTTGAGTTGGCGAGATCAACTCGTGAAAGGGTATATTGAAACGTATCGATACGCTCGCCTGGATAGAAAAATGAAGAGCCCAAGCCTTCTTTGGAAATACTCACGCCGTGTGGGAAAGAAGTGTACGCGTACGAGCACGCATCAAAGGAGAAACCACCTTGAGCGGATGCCGCATCACTTAATCGTCCGAACCGTCCTCAGGAAGCTCCCTCAGCACGCCCTCCACAATCTCAATGAGCTCATCAACATCGGGTCGCTCGCTTGGCTCGAGCCTCAAACACTTCCTCACCACCTCTTTGACGCTGTCTGTGATAGCATCCTCGGGGTTCGCCTTCTGCTTGCCCCTCTGCATACCCTCGTCTGGAAATCTCCAGTCACCACCCAAGACACATATGCTCAGACTACCACCAGTCTCGTCTGACCTAGCCTCGAAGGGGCTCTTGCCGACTAAGCAGGCATAGAGCGTGCAACCGAGCGACCAAATGTCGACCTTAGTGTCAATGACAGAGCCCGTCTTGACATCGAAGAGTTCGGGGGCGCGATATGGCATGGTAGAGTGTTCGGCCGCGGTGTCTTGGATTTGTAGGGCGAGGGATCGCGACGTTACGGGCGTGGGGGATGGTGCGAGTGAGCCGAGATCCATGAGGATGGGTGTCTGGCCGTCGTCGTCTATCATGATGTTTCCTACGCGTGTTAGTCTGTAGAATGGGCAACCATGATATGAATGGAGTACATACCAGGCTTGATGTCTCTGTGCGCGTACGCCCTCTCCCCGCCAGGCGCAATGCCTTCGTGCGCCGCTGTGACTTCTGATTCTTCTAGCAGTCCTTCTGCCTCTTGCTCGTCGTCCTCGTCATGATCGCGATTCCGCCTGCTCGGGCGCATCTCCATTGTCTCCGCAGCTTCCGCGTCTGCCCTCTTCGCGTCTCTCCGGACCTTCTTCGCCTTGCCCTCGCTCTTCGCGCCGCCGGGTCCGCCCTTGATCTTGTACTGATGCATTGCCTTTAGCGCTTTGCAGACACCCAGGAACAGCACCATCAGTCTTCGCTCAGGAAACTTGGTGTGGTTGACCAGGTTCGCGTTGATCATGTCTTGTAGGTTGCCGCGACGGTAGTATGGTAGGAGAATGTATACGGTCTTCGCGGATGAGTCTGACTTGTCGGTTTCAACGGAGTAGTCGATTGAGTGTATGATATTGGGGTGCGGCGAGAAGAGTGTGTAGGCCTCGACTTCCTTGAGCGCCAGGCTCACGCTTTCTTGGCCGAAGGGACATCGAATCTTCTTGAGAGCGAGGAGTTGTTGATTTGAGTTGTCTTGTACGAGGTAAACATATGAGAAGCCACCCTGTGTCGCGATGAGTAAAGTGAAAGTGCATTGAAGGTATCTCAGCTTACCTCGCCCAGCAGCCGTAGTATCTTGAAACTTCGACTGTTGATCTTCAATTGTGGTGAGCTAGGAAAGCAAACCATGCAATTCGTGAAGGAATAGACGACGTCCAGGAAGTATGTGCCTAAGGATCCCATCGTGGCGGTTTCCGTTGCGACTGCGATTTGTTTTGTTTGCGAAGCTATCGACAGCTTGCGGGAAGGCGGTGCCGAGATAGACGCGCGGTCAATTCAATTGTCGATTGTCGCGATAGTACGGAGCTTACGTTTGGGTGATGAGGAGGTGATCGGGGCGGAACGATAGTGAAGACGTGTTGTTTACTGTGATAGGATGTGTGTTGGTGCTGACGACGAGGTTCCGGGTTGCGCCAAGGCGTGGCTGTGAACCCTGGCAGTTGCACGCTTCCGATCGCCTGCGGAACGTGGTCGGGAAGATCCACATGCGGCTAACCCGAAGCGGAAGGCAGCGCCGCACACCCAAAAACTTGGAATATAAACCAAACTTAGAATGAATGAAGTGCGCCTTTGATTCAGACTGCGGTCTGGTCCTTCGGGCAGGTCCTCAGGGCGTTGCTCTGGTGATAAACCAAATTTTGCCAATATTCGCCATCAATGTCTCCAAAAGACCCCAAACATCATGGGCGTGTGGCTCAGTGGTAGAGCGGTTAGTAATACTTTGTACACACTGGTATGCGACACAAATACTGACTTAAAAAAGTCCGCTTTGCATCTTCTGTGCTTGAAAGGGCGTTGAATTCAGCAATCTGCGGAAGGTCCGGGTTTCGGTATGTTCACAATCCGCTCCAGAGGTCGAGCCCACTCGCTAACACAACCAAGATCACCCGCCCGTCCATTACAAGTTCTTTTTTGCTGTCTTTTTGCTGCCACTGTTTCTATCTTTGCAGGTTATAACATGCTGTCGCAAGAGCCAAGTAGATCTTGCGCACCTAACCTGTCTAAGAAAATAGGAGGACGTTACACAAAACATCACAAAAGAATAAAGATGTACACAAACGCTGCTTGCATTGTCTTGCATTTTGCCTATGCAGCCAAGCTCTAATAGCTGTATCTTGCCTTCACCTGTAATGCTTTGCCGTAAACTACCTTTATGTCTGATACCTAAAAAGACTTAACTTTTGAGATTTTTTGAGTTAACTTTGACATTTCCTACGTGTGTCATGAGGCCCGTCGCACATTATCATACGAGACCAGCTCCTTAATAAGATCACCTCCCGCTAATTGCCAATCCAACCGCATTACCAACCACCTGATCTACTGCAACATCTTGATCAGGCCGAAGCCTGGACACCGTGAAGCATACATCAACGCCAGGTTCTTCAATCCTTTGATCATAACCTAGTGTATGCGGCAACACCCTTGAATTTCATTATTGTATGCAAGGACTACCTTATACAAGGAGAAAGCTGAACAGGTTTGCAGACTATATTAGCGTAAAAGTATGCAAAGTAGGTAGCCTAACGTCGATGTAGACTCCAGGGCGTTCAGATTTTCCCTAGGTTGACGTGATCCCCCTCTCAAGGCGCGACATCCTTCGGCATTCCATCAACCCCCAGATCAATCTCCTTGTCCAAATTCTCCAAGAACCCCTTGCCGCGGAACTCTTCCTTTCCAACACTTTTATCCATTATGCCCGCAACCTCCTCACATTTATTATACCACACCCTCTCGTAGTTGTATTCGTCCGCGGGACCGTCCGGCATCATGATCCACTCAGGTATTGCGCCTTTCTCTTGCTCATTATCTTTGTACCACCAGAACCTCGCCGTATCATCCTCTTTTGTGCGCCAATTACCGCGGTTCCAGTTGTGCTTGAGCGGAGAGTGCTTGTCCCATCCGCGGACGAGATGGCGGTAGTAGGCGATTGGGTGGATGTACTCGTTTGTATCGCCCAAGTCGCGGAGCTTGGTCCACTTCGGCGCTTTGGTGTCTTCGTTGTAACACTCGACTTCTTCGTGGCCGGGCATGCGTTGCCAAGACCCGATGAAGTAGTATATGCCGCTGTAAGAGTCTACGAGAGGGCCTGTACCCCAGCTGAAGTCGAAGTTGGTATGTGAGTGGGGTGGAGAACGCGGCGGAGGTTTGAGTGTATCGTGACCGATGCCGGGAATGGAGATCTTTGGTAGCAGGTTCCACGCTTTTTGAAGGAGGTTCTGGTGGTGATAGGTGCATGCGAAGCGGAGGCGGAACAGCCAGCGTGTGTACTGGTCCATGGACAGCTGGAAGGCATGGCGATCGATGGTGAGGTGTGGAGAGATGACTTGAAGCATCCAGCAGAGGGTTGCTGTAGAGATGTTTTCCGAATCTCCCTTCATATCACCGAAAGCGTCTTGTGAACCACCGCCGATATTTGTATGAACACCAGGGAACCAAACCTGCTTTAGCTCCGGTGTTGGTCTATTGGGGTCGTCGACCAGATCCTTGGGAATGTACCATAGAGTAGGGCGGAATGCCTTCCGACGCTCATCTAGAGCCAACGCCTGAAATGCATGTTCGATATCTACAAATCGTTAGCAGAAGTCTCATACTCCAACACCATTAGAACTCACTCTCCGTCAGCTCGACGTTATGAAACCCATACTTCGTCCTCGACCACGCCAGATCAATACCAATCAAATCGGGCACGCCCAACGAGCCAACGGTGTCCCATACACCCACGACCTTCACCTTCCTACTACCCTCACTAACAGCAAGCTCGCCATGCGGTCGAATATCCCATACTTCCGCCAGCAGTTTGAGATCATGCCAGTCGATGTTCCTGACATCTACGCCCTCTTTCTCCATCTGCAGACCCTTCTCGCTGAGCTTGCCCTGGGTGAACCATCTGTATTCTTTCGTCTCGCGGAAGTCAACGCCCTCTTCATTTCTTTGGTACAGACGATATAGCTCAGGGAAAAATTGCATGTTGATTGGTGCAATCACACCGATATCCGAGACCAGCCCGGCAACCGCACGTGCGGTGTAAGCTCCTCTCGAAAACCCGAAACAGAAGATCTCATCGCCCGGCTCGTAGTTTTGCACAATGAAGTTGTAGGCTTCGATGACGTTCTCCGCAAGACCAGCTCCCGTGCCGCCTTGTCGTCGCCTCTCAGAGGTACTGAGATTCCCGGTTCCTATCCCGGAGTCATAGTACACGATCTGATGG